GACATGTCCGCAGTCTTTATGTGCTACGAATCGCCTATATGTTCGCTAAAGGATTGTATACGTTAATCGACCGATCGACTGCTTGGAGGCCATTCGTAGAATAAGATGATAGCACAGTGATGTTTACGAATGATAAGATGGAAAAACCTATAAAAGCAGGACAGATTGAAGGTTAGATTCATTTACTTACTAACCATGCCTTGTTCGTCACGAAGAGGTAGAAGCAGGAGTAGAAGACGAAGAAGTCGCAGCCGAAGCATGTCTCTGAAATCTCGACGATCCAGATCGAGAAGAAGAAGCTCAAGAAGATCCCTCTCCCGATCACGAAGACGATCCCGACGCTTGAGGCGCAGCTCAATGTCACCAAGTCCGTCGCGCTCTCGATCTAGGAGACGTGGACGATCACGTCGCTCAAGATCTCGTCGTCGTTCAAGATCTAGAAGATCAAGATCCTTCTCCAGAAGAAGAAGCCGATCGCGAAGACGAAGAAGAGGAAGTGGTAGATCTCGTAGATCCAGGAGGTACCTGTGGTGTGTAGCGTACATCATCCCAAACTATGGTATCCATTTAGGTCGAGACGTTCAAGAAGAAGGCGCCGTCGTGCGGGTGCGGGAAAAGACAACAGCAATCAAAATCAGGGAGATCAAGATGCTTAAATCGGGCTCAGAGATTATTGACATCATACTGACAAAGAATAAACTTGTAAAGGATTTGTCCTGCTTCTTCGTTTCACTAACTCTCAAACTGACTAAGTGGCCAGTAGCGCTGGTTCTGCCTGAAGAGTTCATTGCCATGTCAAGGTTTTGGCACAACGTGGTGTTTATTGTAATCCACGCTGAAGTCAGGACTTTACGGGATGACCCACCTCATTGGTGCACTGTGTAAAAGAGGGCAACTTCTGGGCTGCCAATGAAGCTATCGCTATCTGTTCCATAGTGGGACGATCTAATGTCTTATCGAAGTTGCGCAGCTTCACTCCGCTACCGCAAGATGCGCCCTAAAACGGCAGCTTTTTCCCTCAATGCCCTCATGTCAGCCTTGCATGGTAGCCCTTCAGCTCAGACATTCATGGGCAACTCGCGCAGTAGATCCGCCCACAAAACCAGAAAACGCGAGAAAATGAGCACTATTACGGGACCTACGCTTTTCTCGCGAAGTTCGAGCTAATCGCGACACTAAAAACAAGGCG